AGACGATTCTTCTTAGTCTAGGACCTGTATAGATGTTTGTATGCATTTCATTTAGCACAGGTAAATGCATTTCATTTAGCACAGTTCAACTGTTTTAGGGTAAAATGACCATGGTGGTCAACATGGCATATGTGCCAAAACCTGAATCCGGGGCGAAAGTCCTGAAAATGACCCCGCCCTGAAACGGCAGTGCCGACATAGCTCTAACTTCCGAAAAGCAAAAGCGACAGCCTTTCTGAAGTGCTTATAGTGTTTAGAAGGGTTGCTTTTAGGGGTGGTCATTGGAAGGAAAAATTTGTCTGAGTATAATATTTTACCAGAAAATGACTATGCACCACCTCAGGTAAATTGCTGATTATGCACAAAATAACCAATATGCCTGGCAGAAATTTGATGTTCTTATTTCCTAAAAAAAATTATCATGGGATGAAAAACTATGCTTAATTTAATATAATTATTGTAGTTTTCATAAGGATTGTCATTGTTTTCTTTAAATATAATACATTTTAATTCACTCACCCCCCACGAAAACACCATTTCAGCCATTCTTTGCTGTCTTGTCTGCTTTTTATCGCCGAGTCTCGCAGGTGTCATCCAGTTGTTGTACTTTTACATAATGATAGATGGCTAAGGACGATTTCGACGAAGTTTAATGAAGTTTTGAAACAGTGCAGTATATTTTATCTTCGATATTGTGTCCTTCGATATTTCGTCAAATTGCCGCCATGTTAATGGCTCGCCGCTTCTCTGCCCGATAAATGCCACTTCTTCGTCTTCCTATGTGTTTAGACTACAGTATCCAAGAGTACTTCATTGTAGAATAGTCCCAATTGAAAGAATGAAAACATTAGTTGTGTTTTCATGCCTAAACCCTCCAGGTAATCATTTAGGTTCAAAATAAAATACAAAGCATTTGAAAGTCACGCGCAATCTTCGCGAAAACTTCTCGTGGACACATGGCAGGGGGGGGGGTGAATATTTTCACGAAACGTTTGTTCGCCACCACATTACCACAACAACCTAAAATATATTGTATTTATTGTATTTTTATGAATTATGATAAAAACAATAAATATTTGGGTAGTTTTATCATAATTCATAAAAATACAATAAATACAATATATTTTAGGTTGCTGTGGTGGCGAACAAACGTTTCGTGAAAATATTCACCCCCCCTGTCATGTGTCCACGAGAAGTTTTCGCGAAGATTGCGCGTGACTTTCAAATGCTTTGTATTTTATTTTGAACGTAAATGGTTACCTGGAGGGTATTGGCATCAAAACCCAACAAATGTTTTCATTTTTTCGATTGGGACTATTCTACAATGAAGTACTCTTGGATACTGTAGTCTAAACACATAGGAAGACGAAGAAGTGGAATTTATCGGGCAGAGAAGCGGCGAGCCATTAACATGGCGGCAATTTGACGAAATATCGAAGGACACAATATCGAAGATAAAATATACTGCACTGTTTCAAAACTTCATTAAACTTCGTCGAAATCGTCTTTAGCCATCTATCATTATGTAAAAGTACAACAACTGGATGATATCTGCGAGACTCGGCGATAAAAAGCAAACAAGACGGCAAAGTATGGCTGAAATGGTGTTTTCGTGGGGGGTGAGTGAATTAAAATGTATTATATTTAAAGAAAACAATGACAATCCTTATGAAAATTAAGTAATCCTTATTAAATTAAGCATAGTTTTTCATCAGTTATTTTGTGCATAATCAGCAATTTACCTGGGGTGGTGCATAGTCATTTTCTGGTAAAATATTATACTTAGACAAATTTTTCCTTCCAATGACTACCCCTAAAAGCAACCCTTCTAAACACTATAAGCACTTCAGAAAGGCTATCGCTTTTGCTTTTCGGAAGTTAGAGCTATGTCGGCACTGCCGTTTCAGGGCGGGGTCATTTTCAGGACTTTCGCCCCGGATTCAGTTTTGGCACGTATGCCATGTTGACCGCCATGGTCATTTTACCCTAAAACAGTTGAGATTATCTGTGCTAAATGAAACGCATACAAACATCTATACAGGTCCTAGACGACTGTGCTAGTTCGCAAGTTTGTAATCTCGCCAGGCATAACTTTAAGATATAATTATATAAATAACCTAACTATTTTTTCCCTCAAGTTTCTAGAAACACTGAGTAGTATCCTGGATTGGGGGCAAGTGAGAAAACGAATTATTGGCCGTCTATCCGAAAACGAACGAAAATTTTCCTATCTCGGCGATCTTGTCCTTCCTTTAATTGATGAATACGGCAGGACTGCCTTGCACTATGCTAGCCACTTTGGCCATCACATAGTGCACGCCAATACAAATCTTATCAGAATTGCAAACGCTCATGATTGTGATGGCAGAACCGCATTACACCTGGCCTGTATACCTGACGATTCCACTTTTAGTAATGCATATGGTTTCGCGATTTACCAGACAGAAGACTTAGAACGCGCTTGTAAAATTTTAGTTGAAAACGGAACAAATATAAACAGCCAAGACAGTGAAGATCGAACAGCACTACACTATGCGGCCATGCACTATCAAAACTTGGTTCCTGTTCTAATCTCGCTCAACGCAAATATCTTTGCCATTGACGAAAATTGTAAAACACCTCTAGATTATGCTTTCGAGCTTGGTAAAACCACGGCTATAAAATATTTACTTGAGCATTTTGCTAACCAGAAAGAAGATGAGAAGGGTTTGATAATGAAAGACATCAACTGCGTCGACGAAGAGGGAAGAAACATTCTTCATCGTGCCGCAGAGGTTGCGAATACTGCAGCAATTACAAAACTTCTTGATGCTGAAATTAGTTTGAACGCTGTTGACAAAAACGGAAAATCTGCTTTGGATTATGCACTTGCGGAGAGGAATTTTGAAATTTCCATTGTGCTACTTGATCGTATATTAGAAGAAAATAAGAAAAACCCAGATCATTTGCCTGTTGCCGTAATAAAAATATTGGAGGCAAAAGATTCTGTTGCTAGGACAATATTACACTACTCAGTAATGCATTTTAAACAGAATGTCTTGGACACACTATTAAAGAATAAAGTTAGCCTGAATGATATTGATCATACAGGTATGTCTCCTTTGCATTTCGCAGCCGAGCGGGGAAATGTCGTTGCTGCTGAAAAGCTTCTCGAAGCTGGAGCCAGTGTTGATAGGAAAGATGATCAAGGAAGAACTGTTGTACATCATGCCGTACAATATGGTAATGTAAAGCTTCTTGATCTGCTAATAAAGAATAATGCAAATGTGAACGACAGGGATAACACAGGTCAATCTGCATTATATTACACGACAGCGTCGAGAAACGTGCTTGCTGCCATGAAACTACTAGAAGCTGGAGCCCGTGTAGAAGGGAAAGATGATGAAGGACGAACAGTTTTACATTTTGCTGCACAACATGGTAATGTAAAGCTTCTTGATCTGCTAATAAAGAATAATGCAAATGTGAACGACAGGGATAACACAGGTCAATCTGCATTATACTACACGACAGCGTCGAGAAACGTGCTTGCTGCCATGAAACTACTAGAAGCTGGAGCCCGTGTAGAAGGGAAAGATGATGAAGGACGAACAGTTTTACATTTTGCTGCACAACATGGTAATGTAAAGCTTCTTGATCTGCTAATAAAGAATAATGCAAATGTGAACGACAGGGATAACACAGGTCAATCTGCATTATACTACACGACAGCGTCGAGAAACGTGCTTGCTGCCATGAAACTACTAGAAGCTGGAGCCCGTGTAGAAGGGAAAGATGATGAAGGACGAACAGTTTTACATTTTGCTGCACAACATGGTAATGTAAAGCTTCTTGATCTGCTAATAAAGAATAATGCAAATGTGAACGACAGGGATAACACAGGTCAATCTGCATTATACTACACGACAGCGTCGAGAAACGTGCTTGCTGCCATGAAACTACTAGAAGCTGGAGCCCGTGTAGAAGGGAAAGATGATGAAGGACGAACAGTTTTACATTTTGCTGCACAACATGGTAATGTAAAGCTTCTTGATCTGCTAATAAAGAATAATGCAAATGTGAATGACAGGGACAACAAAAGTCAGTCTGCCTTACAACACGCTTTAAAGTCGCATAACGTTCTTGCTGCCATGAAGCTACTTGAAGCTGGAGCGAGTATAGAAGGGAAAGATGATGAAGGACGAGCAGTTTTACATCTTGCTGCACAATGTGGTTATGTAGAGCTTCTTGATTTGCTAATAAAGAATAATTCAAATGTGAACGAGACGGACAACAGAGGGAGATCTGCTTTATATTACGCGGTAGAGCGAGGTAACATGGTTTCCCCCTTCGTGCCACTTGAAGCTGGAGCCAATATTGAAGGGAAAGATGATAAAGAACGAACAGTTTTACATCATGTAATGAGACGTGGTGGCTGGAAAGAGAAATCTGCTTTACATTACGCGGCAGCGCGGGTTTACGTTGTTGCTGCCACGAAGCTAGTAGAAGCTGGAGCCAGTATAGAAGGGAAAGATGATGAAGGACGAACAGTTTTACATTTTGCTGCGCGATATGGTGATGTAAAGCTTCTTCGTCTGCTAATAAAGAATAGTGCAAATGTGAATGATAGGGACAACAAAAGTCAATCTGCCTTACAATACGCTTTAAAGTCGCAGAACGTAGTTTCCGCCATGGCGCTACTTGAAGCTGGAGCCAGTGTAGAAGGGAAAGATGATGAAGGACGAACAGTTTTACATCTTGCTGCACAACATGGTAATGAACAGCTTCTTGATCTGCTAATAAAGTATTTTTCAAGTGTGAACGATACAGACAACAGAGGGAAATCTGCTTTATATTACGCGGTAGAACGAGATAACATGGTTGCCGCCATCAGGTTGCTTGAAGCTGGAGCCATTATAGAAGTGAAAGATGACGAAGGACGAGCAGTTTTACGTTAAAGAAGGAGACGTGGTAAATCTGCTTTACATTACGCGGCAGATCGGGGTTACATCGTTGCTGCCATGAAACTCTTAGTAGCTGAAACCAGTATGGAGGGAAAATATGATAAAGGAAGAACAATTTTACATCATGCTGTACAACTTGGTGATGGAAAGTTTCTTGATCTACTTATAAACATTAGTGCAAGTGTGAACGATACAGACAAGAGCGGGAAATCTGCTTTATATTACGCGGTAGAGGAGGGTTACACCGTTGCTGCCATAAAGCTCTTAGAAGCTGGAGCCAATGTAGAAGGGAAAGATGATAAAGGACAAACAGTTTTACATCATGCTGTACAACATGGTGATGGAAAGTTTCTTGATCTACTTATAAAAAATAGTGCAAGTGTGAACGATACAGACAATAAAGGGAAATCCGCTCTATATTACGCGGTAGAGCGGGGCAACATGTCTGCCGCCATAAAGCTTCTTGAAGCTGGAGCCAGTATAAAAGGGAGAGATGATGAAGGCCGAACAGTTTTACACCATGCTGCACAACGTGATGATGAAAAGCTTCTTTATCGGCTACTAAAGAATAACACAAGTGTAAACGAGGGTGACAACAACGGTAGATCTCCTTTACATTACGCGGTAGAGCGCGGAAACATGGTTGCTGCCATCAAGCTAGATGAGGCTGGAGCCAGCGTAGAAGGGAAAGATGATGATGCACGGACAGTTTTACATCTTGCTGGACAATGCGGTAGGGAAGAACTGCTTGAACTACTATTAAAGAATAATGCAAGTTTGAACGAGCTTGACCGCCAAGGTAAAACTGCCTTGTATTATGCTTTAGAGTATGCTTTAGAAACAGGTGACCCAACTTTTGCTGTTAAGCTCTCCGAAGCAGGAGCGAAAGCACCGCTGGTGAAATACGGGCTAGGCATGACATTACTACACTATGCAATACAAGAGAATAAACTGAACAATCTCGATATTCTGATCAAATGCAAAGTGTATTTAAATGATTATGATGATAAAGGAAAAACGGCTTTGCACTGCGCAGTGGACTCTGGTAATATTGATGCAGTCAAAAAGCTGCTTGAAGCAGGAGTTGACGTTAACGTTGAAACTGCTAAGGAGAAATTTACACCTTTACACCTCGCTGCAATGCGACGTCATGACGAAATTATTGAATTACTACTTGACCATAAAGCAAATCCTGGCGTTGAAGATTATATTGGACAAACTGCGCTGAAATGCGCTCGAAATTCCCATCGCCATGCTAACATTATTAAGAAGATGGAAGAAGCCATTGCTAACCTCTCATTAGAATTAAAATAGTGAAGATTAATAGATTGAAGATTAAGAATTTTAGGCAAAGGTGATTTCAGGCAGAAATGATATGCTCAAAAGAGCAATAATTTGAACAAAAGAAGTATGCATTCCATGCAATAAAATATCTCGAATATTTAAGTTCGTTCGAGGAACTTGTAAATATTCGTATAAATTTCACCATTATTTCAAATTAGGAAAACATAATTTGTGTTACTGTTGTCCATTAGTTACAAGAGCCAATTACAGGTTGAAGTATTGCTAGAATATCTAATCGTTCTCTGTAGGAAAATAGATATACAGACGTCAGTGAATATTATATAAAACTGTGAGAGAACATGAATTGTGTACTAGAACACATCTCTGACTGAGTATTTAGAGAAAAATGTGCCTTCATTTGCTTCGTATAGCGTTATGTTTAATGTAGTTTCAGACGAATTCTGTTCCAATATATCATATTGTTGTGTACAAATACTTAACAATTATACCATGACCTCGAGTCGTATATGAGCTGATATACGACGAGAGTGAATGGTATAATTGTTTTATAATATAGTCTAATAGCCATTAACTGAAGCAATAATTAATTATCCTCTGTTACAATGTCTTGACAATTTGTTCGGCCAAAAACCGCTTGGCCTTGAAAATTTGAAATACATTTGTTTTTGGACCGCCATCTTGTTTTTCGTTACTCGCCGTATATGAGCTGATACACGGCGAGTAATTCAACCAATCAGATTGCAGAACAGCTCATATACGGTGAATGACTATATTATAATTTCTTATATAAGTCTGGGTTTATAAACATGGCCTTTAGTTTTCTTCATATTTTTTAAAGTCGAGTTTAAATTGGCCTAATCCCCGAGCCGACGGCGCGAAGCGCCGTGCGAGGGTACTAATTCCCCCAGGCTATTTACACCCCCTATTACACACCCGGCTATTTACAGCCCCTCCCCCCTTCTGGGTAGAAATTCCTTTGAAATCTTAACATGAGTACGAGGCTAGTTGGGCCAATTTATATGCACATAAAAGAATTTTTAATCGGGTGCCATTTATGAAAAAGGTGTATATATATGTTGGGAAATTGATAATTTTGTAATTAAAAGTGATATTTTTAGGCGATTTTTCATTTGTAAGAATATTCTTAAAAAATTATCGTGTTAC